ATATATATATATTATATTTAATTAAATTATATTACATATATAATAGTACGTATGCAGCTAGTAGTTATATAGTACTGTGGTAGCAGTTTGGTATACTAGTACTAGAGTAGTCTAGTAGTAGTAGTAGTAGTAGTAGTAGTACTAGTAGTACTAGTAGCAGTACTAGTACTAGTAGTAGCCGTCGTCGTCGTCGTCGTCCGATTACACCCAGCTTCAGAGCTCCTGGTGTGACAAGTGCCGAAGCTGCTTCATGCCGTCTGGAGAAAGGCTAGCTTGATTATGCAACGTTTAATAAATTTCATATTCCTTCGTGCTGTATGTGAGCGTAGAAGTTTAATAAATTTCATATTCCTTCGTGCTGTATGTGAGCGTAGAAGCAGGATTGGCAACTGCAGGGCTTCATTATAGGATGTCGTTTGCTCCTCGCCGTGTGTCAATGGAAATCGATCGATTTGGATATGCGGCAGTGGCATCTCGACTGAATTTCTGGGCCGTAAAGCTGTCTGGTGTATTTTGCTGCTGCTGCTGCTGCTGCTGGGCCAGACAGCTGGGTGTTCTGAGGCACTGGCTTGGGTGCTGGCGGCTCTGCTGGATGCAGATATGTCAGTGATAGCAGCTCGGTGAAATTTACATTTCGCAAGAGCAAGCTCAAAATAATTTCGGGCGAAGTCCTGTCCGTGTTTAGGTGCCAAAATGCCTGGGCTGGGATCAGAGATCCGATATATTCAGTCTGCTGGTATCTGGGCTTCAATTTTGTGGACTGTTTAAATCGACTAGCTTGGCTCCAGCCGCATCGTGCAAGGTGCCTGATGCAGCGTGGATTGGCCCGACGGGGGCGGGACAGCAGCTTGATTCAAGTTGCAGCAGAGTGAGAAGTAATTTCGATTTGATTCTGGCCAGGGATGTCGACTTGCACTAAGGCTACGAAACCCAGGCATCTGCGGCCCATCTGCTCAGGGTGGCCGATCAATATCGTGAAACTGCTGTGCTGCCGGGATCGGATGATGATGCACTGGGTGCAACCACCCCACTGTGCTTCTCTTCAGCTTTGTGTGCTGCATGTGCTTGCAAATTTTGTGCAAACATGACTGGCCATTTAAGCCTTTTTTTGCCCTGGCCCCGGCGTGATCCTCGTACGGTGGAGGTGTGGCTACGCGCAGACACAATACACACATGCATGCACTAGCTATATATATATATATATCTCATGCTGCTGCTGCATATATATGCAGGTGCAGCGATGGATCGGCAGCGCCTGCTGGAGAAGCTGCTCCTTGAGGAGTCGGGGTATGCTTTAAAAGCTGGGTTTTTAATATCGATTCCTGTGAGGACCTTCTGAACCAGGCTCTCACGGCTAATGAGGAGACTCTGCCGAATATCCGCAAGAGCAAGGAGTGACTGTCGATTGCAACTAGCGTGCAGTGCATGATTAAAGAAAAACCGATGCAGGACAAAGCCCTCTTCAAAGTGCCCTCGGCCGGTGTGGCGAGTGCGGCGATGGTGGGGGGCTGTGCTGCGATGACTTGCATGATTTAATGTTTTTTTCATGGTCCAACTGCGATAACCGAAGCTTCGCATGCTGCAGTGCGAAGACAACTACATGTTCCTCTGCAACTACTTTGCAACGCTGGGAGGGAAACTGCCGCTTTTCCCATCTCACAAGGCCAGGTGTGTGCATAAGCATGCTACAACGTACATATATATGCTCGAAGTCGAATGCTTGCATTTATGGTGCAGGCTGTGCTGCAGACGCTTGCGAAGCGGTATGCTTTGTTTCCTGCGCACACGCGCAAGAAAATCATCAAAGCAGCTTAATTGCAATTGCAATCGTGCGTGTTTTGTGGTCCTGCTGCAGTTGATCCATTATCCGTTAGGACTGGGCAGCCGTTGAAGCGGCGACTATGAGGGGAATGGCTGTGCATGCTCTGTTGCTGGCACGCAGATCCAGTGGTTCCAAGCGCCCCGATCGAATTTAAAATATGATGATATCGATCGATATGAGGTCGTCGTCGTGTACTATTATATTAAGCTAAGGTCTGCCAAGATCCGCATGCTGAAGGAGCTGATTGGATCTGTGATAGGTGACGTGGCTCCGATATTAGATATATATAATATGTTGATCCCTGCATACACGTTCTTAGGCTCCACCGATGTCGATGCGGCCATCGAAGCTGAGATTCAGTCATCCATGCAGGATCCCACACTGCAGGCACGTGGGTCATGATATGGTATCAGTACTCCCTGTACCTCATATTAACACTACGCAAGCCTGGCACTTTTCTCGATAGGACTCGGTCGACTCCGCATCTTCCTCTGCTTCTATTGATGGTGAGATGTTGGCCCGCCGGCTGATCATATATGGCAGGGTTTGAGGGCGAGCTTGGCAGGAGTTGGTGATTACCAGGGTATATGCTTATAAGGGCTTAGAGGTTTAGGGTT